AAAAAAAAAACTAAATTGACAATGTGCCCTGGATTTTCACAATTGCTCGAAAACTGGCGGTGGTGCTACAACGGGAGTGAGTACGGTATCGCCATTTGATCCTGAACTGATGACGCTCTGCTGTTGCTGGTCATCTTCTTGCCTACTGCGGTCGTGACCACGACGTCGAGCGTTCATGAAAAAGTTAGCGACCGTTGTTGGATCGAGCTGCAACTGTTGTGATATCGTCAGCTGCATTTCACGTGACGGACGCTTCGTCTCTTTGAATATTGCCTAAATTCAAACTGACAAATAACTTTTTTCAAACGCACACGAACCTGCACAATGCGAGGTTAACTAGTGCTACAGTCAAGATTTTTTGAAGAGAGGAACTTCTAAAACCTGTGCGCGGGGGAGAACTACACAAAGATATCAGCGTACATTTCGCAGTCACTGCACTGATTGTCAAGAACGAACAACTGAGTAAATTCAGCATAATACACAGTGTCGTAAATTAACTGGAGATATCTTTACATGCAAAAAAATTCTTTACACCAGGCAGCACTCCCAGTTTTCCCCATTGTTCCCATTCTCGATCCCCCCTTTCTCTTTTTTTCTTTTTGCTCCATTCAGTCAACTTTTGGTCGACTTGCAAGAACTATCACAACTAGTGCTACATACACTTAAGTCAAAAAACTTCGTTCAAAATTTTAAAAGTTTTAGCAAAAACTTCTCACCAAAATCGCGCATCCCCATCCTCTATCGCGAGGAATCCTGACAGTGCTACACAATCACCACAGCCTATTTTTCGAAAGCAACTTCACTTGTTCCGATTTAGGGAAGCTGCGAAACGCGAAAAGATATGAATAAAAAAGCATTCCTCTGCCTTAAGCGATTTAATAGGTACAGCGACTGACCGTGCGTACGTGAACACCATATAATTGCTGTATGCATAACAACCATATTGCGTTTGTACATATATATGTATATATATATGATTTGTTTTTTATTGTTATATATATATACAACTATATTGCTTAAAGTTTGAAATCGGAAAGGTCTTACTCATATCTTCACCAAACTGTGTTGAAGGCAATAATGCAAAGATGCAAAAAGTGATCAATAACGAAGGCAGAATCAGGTGCCCCATTAAACAAAAATGTTTGCGATATTTTGAAAACTAACAGGAAGGATGTATTACTTTCAGAAATTGGCTTGCTATTAAGAAGAAGGGAATAATTATGAATTATAATTAGCACGTGTAATTGGCCCACCTGCAATGTGCGTCTCTGGATATCAGTGAATACTAAGCGTGGCTTCTTGGGCGCAGCAGGTTGTGGGCCACCGTTCACCTGTTGTTCCTCTTTTCTCTTGCATGCTAAAACTACTGGTCTCACTTGCTTCATCACTCTTATATCATAAACTTCTATGAAGTTAATTTATCGCAAGGAAGGAATCAAACTTTGCAAAAGAAACTCTGACAGACGAAGATTATATGATTGTTATTAGAGGTAAGCAGTGTTGAGATATGTAAAGCAACACGGAATCTTTTGAGTTCTAGCCATGTTGTTAGACAATTCTGATATTAGCTGATTAGCTCTGTGCTGGCAGAAGCAACTGATATTAAATAAAAGCTCTGAAAATGCTGAAAAATTGTCAGTGAAATGTTCAAAATTTGACATAATGCCTCACCACTGATGTGTTCGAAAACGACTGACAAAATGCATTGACACAAATGAGCAAACACTTGCGGTAAAGCAAATTTTAGAAAAGTACATTACTCGTAAAGCAAACTGTAATGGGTGCTGGAAGCCAGCGCCAGTTAGGTAGTAAAGTTACGCAGCGCTCGAAAAACACGCATTCCGCATTTAATGACCAGAAAGTACCTGTTTCCTATCAGAATGACGACATTCCTACTGTTTCCACCAGCTGGAGTATCCTTCAAATAGTTTGCTTGGTAGGCACGCTGTGAACCCCGAAACTGGGATGACTGTTACAAGACACTGCAGTTTTTGCGATGTCAGTCCAGGTGCACAGAGTTATGCTGAAGTCGATTTTCGCACATCTTCGCCATTCTGCACGACGCACTCACACCTCATTGGGGGCCATATGCATTATTAAGTGAATGAACGATCCCAGAATGGTGCTTAGTTTATATGGGTCTTTTCAAATCCACACATGGCCAGCCGGACGTTAAGTGAGTATACTGCGCATGGGGTTTAATTACCGTAGGATTTGCATCTGATTTATGCGAATAATAACGGAAATGCCCCATCTTATCGCTGTGGCACTCACTTTTGACGGCGAACACCATCGCTAGCTTTTCCTAGCCTTAAAAAAAGCGACTTACTGGGGATTTTTTGTGTGAAGTGAGTGTTATCCCAAGTGAATGTCAGTAAAACCCACCAGTCTGAATTTTCTTTTATAGCGGGATTTTTGTCACCGGGTAAATTTCAAACTAGCAGAATTCTGTTCTCATTACACTGGAATCTATGAAAAAATCGCCCGCACAGTCAGTACGGGTGTCTCGTGTTAGAGGTATTCACTAGTATGCTTCCATACGTCTGACGCAGCTGTGCTAGGTCATTATATTTACTTTTAAAATATCTGAAAGCGTGTTAAAACGTAAGTGCATTTGCTAGAAATTCAGCAATGAACCAAATTCAAACTGCATTTACTAATCAAATCCTCTTACAAATAACGTTGGTTTAGTTGTGTGTGTTTTTGCATAATTAATTCATGCAAATATGCATATGGCGAGGGCGTGCCCATGGGTGTTTTTGTCTGTCTCTGTAAATCAGCTCTACAAAAGCCCGCAAACTGAAATTTTTAGAACATAAATCTCAAGGCAACTTCGATCTAAAATCGAAATTTAGTTCTTGTACTTGAGGCCCTCTTTAAACTCATGTCTGTTTTCTAACAGGGTTAGAAATTTCATGAAGCTAGAAGATGAAAATTCTAATGGTTCAGACTATTAGTGCAATTTAAGCAGCATGAGGCCAACTTCCAAAGTTAAGTGTGCTCTAACTTCTGTTTTTGAAGACCAAACTCATGCAAGATCTGTTAAGATTCGAATAGATTAAGTTAAAGGCATGGCATGTCGCAGATTTTGGTTTATCTGGCAAGGTGCTGGTTAGTCTATTCAAGCTATTCTACCTATTCTAAGTTACAATTGCAAGGACAAACAGGAGCTAAGATAGCAAAACTAAAACAGCAAAACAGAAGACTGCCTTTTACTATTGGGTTGGAAATTCAGCACGATGACTCCTGTCTGCTGCAATACATTCACTCACTAGACATACGCAAAAACTTAACACGAAACGTGTATCCGGTAGATGGTCTGATGCCCGTCGTTTTTTTTTTTTTGCAACTGCCTGCTTAACCGAAATGTCTGTAAAGAAACAGGAGGGCAAAAGAAGCTGTGCACCTGACTTTCGTGCTTTTCCCGTGCTAGATGGGCTTAAAATATATCATATGAATTTCCACTCGCTAGTGGTCCCATCAGCAACTGCTATTCACAGTCATAGGTTAAACCGTTTTAAGCTGTAATCAGCTTTTTATTCGAAATTCACTGCAGAATGAAAATGCAAGCAAGGGAAAGGGATTCGGATTATACAACATACATTCGGAAGACAGTTAGCGTAAAAAATGTGTGCAGTTCCTAGAAAGCGACTAAGCTGCAATAGTGAGATTTATTCGTTCTCTGGGGTTTATTTCTTATTTATTTCTTTCAGAATTAAACTGGCTTCTCCATTCAATTTCATACATTTCCGTCACTGCTGAGCATTTATTTTAATTGACCCTCCACGGAATTCCAATGGCTGTTCACCGATTTTTGAGGCAAACTTGAAACTGTATGCTAGACTTTTTTAAACAAATATTTTCCATCATATCAGAAAATTTTTCATTCTAGAAGGGACAGCTGAGTGAAATTCTCAGCTTTTTAATTCTTTTTTTAAATGTTTCGTAATAAACTCAAAAAGCGTTTGTTTCGGTACAAAAGCCAAAAGACTGGTGATACAGAAATTGCAATATTTCGCAGCCTACATCTACCTGAATATCTGGCAAAGAGAACGTTTAGTTGCCGTGTAAGCGATATTTTCAGAAAAAGCAATTTCACACAAACTTCCTCAATAGCCCAATACACCAAAAACTTCATTTTCAAGATTATCTAGCAAAACAAATTAAAATAAGAACATCTGTAGTCAAAAATACCCCCC